GCACAAAATCTCTCCCTCGTTGTTCTCAGCTTCTCCTTGAGGATATCTTAGCGGTTCTTCCTTCAACCAATCTGGTCCCTCCCACCAATGTGACTCCAACAAAACTTTTGGAGAACAACCTCTAGAGGGTAGATCAGCGGGATTTTGACTCCCAGGCACATGATTCCAATTATCCACATTAGTCATTTGCCGAATTTCGTTAACTCGATTGGTTACAAACACTGTCCACTCCTCTTTTCTTTAAATCCACGCCAACACAGTAGTGGAATCACTCCAAAAATAACAATTCTTGTTACCTTCAAAATTTTCTAGGATACTCTGGCATAATCTTGCCCCAATAGTAGCAGCAAGTAATTCTAAGCGAGGTATAGTAAGTTTTTTAAGTGGTGCTACCCTGGATTTGGCAGCAGTTAAATGTACTATAACTTGGCCGTCCTGCACTACACGAAGATAAATCACCGCGGAATAAGCATTCTTACTAGCGTCACAGAATACATGGAGACTCAATGCCTGATTAAGTTGTGGATCCAAACCAACCCAACGTGGTATCTGAACCTTTTGTAATAATGGTAACTCTTTCAACCATTGCGAAAATTCTCTAACCGTATTGTCATCCACTTCTTCGTCCCAATTAACCCCTTTTTCCCATAAAGTTTGCAACAAAAGTTTAGGTTTCAATGTAACCGGACAAATTACACCAATTGGATCAAATAATCGCTGCGTCACCGATAAAATAAATCTCTTTGTTATTTTTATTTCCTTATCTTCAATGTCTTTAACATTTTCGGTGTTTACAGTCAATAAATCCTCTTCCGGAAACCACTTCAAACCCAAAACCGAAACCACTGTAGAGCTGTTTTCCAGTCCGCCAGTTGACTCCCACCCTCGTAAATCAAACTGGGCTTCACTCATTACATGTTTTGCTTCCTGAATAAACTTAGTAAGAGATTGTTTATCATGTAAACTTGCCACGCAATTATCTACGTAAAAGCTTTTATCCAGCCTCTCAACAGTATCGCTAGAATAATTCAAAATTTCGCTTTTACATTTTTCCAAACAAGTTTTTAGATGTAAGTTAATTGTTGCTCCCAGCAAAAACGGACTACTACTCACACCGAAAACCACTCTTCTGTGTCTAAAAACTCTCTGATTTCCTTGTAAATCTACCCAAAGAAATTTTAAAAAATTCCTGTCTGATTCGCAGACACTAATCTGTAAAAAGGCCTTTCTTATGTCTGAAATAACACCGATTTTACCTTCTCTAAACCGTAAAATGATAGAAGGAATGAGTTTCACAAGATTGGCTCCTTTTTCTAAACATTGGTTTAACGAAGATTTATTTTCTTTATGAGCAGACGCATCGAAAACAGGTCGAACTCTCGTTGTCGAATTTTCTTTTACTACAGCTCTATGTGGCAAATAATGCCCTTGTTTATCGTCATCTTTCAACTCTTCAATAATGCCCTCTTTTAACCATTCTTCCAGTACTTTATTATAGGTATCGAAAAGTTGCTTTTGTTCCAGCTTCTTGCAAACAACTTGTAATCTCTTTTCCGCAATTTCGTAATTGGTAGGAAGTGGAGGATGATCTTCAATCCATGGTAACCTTACGACATATCTACCTTCGCTGTCTCTCTCAGTCGTATCATTAAAAAACTGTTGTGCTGCTTCCGTCATTTCCTCTCTACTTTTATTTTCGCTTGGATCCTTGATCCCCAGTACATCTAATTCCCATAATTCACTTATAGCCAAATCTCTAACTAGACATGACAACGTTGCATTAAAAGTAGGTTTAACGTTATTTACTTTACCCATTACTGTCCATCCGAAAACCGTACCGAGTGCTACTAAACCGCACGACAATACGCGTTTTTCTCCCGTATAAATAGCACCCGCTATATCCGCTCCCAACAAAAGCTCTATGGGTTCATAATTATTTACGTCTTCTATACAAACGCCAAGTTTACATAATTCTTCATACGCCGGTCCATGGCTAATCGATAAAACATTATGACATATGACGTCTTGATCTAACATTTCAAAATTAAATCGGTTTCCACTAACTAATGTGACGTCATAACATTCATGCAACTGTTCTACTTTCGAACCGCCAAACAACCCGTGTACAACACGCTCTTTACGTTTAGATCGGTAGCCTAATCGTTGTGCTATTGCTTTTACGATGTACGACTTCTGCGAACCACTATCTATCAAGGCTCTAACTTTTCGAAGGCCATTTTTAGTTTCTACATTTACCTTTAAAGTTGGTAAAAGAACACTAGAATCAGTAAAATTCGAACTTGACAATGTCTCGGTTTTATTGTTGTTTACTGGTGATTTTATTTTATGAATTGTTGCTTCCTTCTTCTCATCACCTGTCTTCAGATAAGCCGGCAAATCAGCACAAATTAACGTCGCGTGTGTCTTAGAGCAAATAAGGCATCGTAATTTAACCCTACATTGTCTTGCTAGATGCCCTGTTTTTAAACATTTAAAACACGCCTTTTTCTGGGATAAAATCTGTTTTTTCTGCTCAAAAGACATCCCCTGTGCCTTAAAACAATTTTCCGACTCATGTGTACCTTCACAAAACACACATTTATTCATCGACTGATTTATTAACCCCGCAGCGGTGGGTAAATTTGACCCTCCTTTGAAGAGAGACCTTCTTTCCCTGTAAGACTGTTTTTCATTTACTTTAAAAGTGTTATTGGCCGGTACAATCCCAAAACCTTCAGAAGCAAGCACGATTCTCTGCTCATTTTCTACTTCTGATCTCAAAAATTCTAGTAAGCTGTGTAAACGCGACGAAACACTATCAACATTTAAGCTCTATACTGAACCTGCATTTGAATTACTTATGCAAATGGAAGCTGACGTACGTTGCCATACTCGCAACAGGTCCTGAGGCAAACAAGATTCTATCAATGGAAAAAGTATTGCGGCACAATTTTCTGAAGTTACACCTAACGTGTCTAAAGCCCGAAGCTGTGTTTCTATTTTATCGTATAGAGAAGCGATATCTAATTTTTCAGGTGCGGTAGCATTAACTAATATCAGTTTTAATAATTCTCTTACATAAACTTCGGTTTGAAGATCTTCTCGACCAAAACGCGACTTTAAACTATCAACGATTTTTGGATAATTTTCTGCAACAGCCGGAAAACTTTCCACCAAACGACGCGCTCTACTACCCGGCACAGTAGCCTGAATTAAATACTCAATTTTATCGTGCTCGTCTATTCTTATGTCTTCATCTATTTTTTTAAACTGACCCCAAAATTGCAGCCACTCCTTAATAGTTCCGTCAAATTTTTTAAATTCTATTACAGGTAATCGAAACTTACGTCTAGTTGCTGTTGTGTCATCACCTTGGTTCTCAACTTCTTCAGTCTCTACTGAACTCGTTTCAGCCACTGTCGCATTAGTTGGACTCAATAACTTAACACATGTAACGTGCATTGCATGATACTTTTCGATATACTGGTCACAGGCTTCCAGTTCTGCTTCAAATTCTTCCTCTACAACCTCCGCCTCTGCCAGCTGCTCGAAAATAACTTTATCTAACGCTTTCAATTCCTCAAATCTGTCTTGCACCAACCGCCACTCGGCCTCCACTGTTACCAAATGAAGAGGCTTTTTACTCAAAGCCTGTTGCAACTTGGTGAGGTTACGCGTAACTGAACTTCTAATCACAGTGCGACTTCTTTTATTCACTTCCATTTTACTGAGCTACACTCAATAAACGATAACAAATCTTGATACTGCGAATAAGAGACCCGTAAAAAACACTTTTTTCCAACCCGTCCTGTCACGGTCGCCAAATGTTCCAAATCAAATAAATTCGTCTAATAAATCGAACTAACTGTTGTCTTTATTATGGGTCGGATGATTTTACAAGGTCTTAACTACTTTATGACATCTTTTTCTTTTATAATTTTTCTGACATTTTTTTACAACAACTATCAAAAACATATTAATTATTTTTAAAAAACAAAAACCAAAATTAACAATAACTTTTTCGTATTCCCTCTGTATGTTGCAACAGTGGGGAAATTCTGAACTGGTCCACATAAATCTGGAGTTTCTTCTAAATCTGGGATCAGGTTGCCTGGTGCAAAAAAGTTTTTATAGTACAACTCATCATCTTCTTTCCACTTTGCCCAGTAATGTTTTACTAGCAAAGTTTTGACATTATCACCCTTTTCTTGCTTTACCTTTACGTCTTATTTTGTTATAATAGCACAAAATAAACAAGATAATTTTTTTTATAATTCTTAAAACAATAAAACGTAGATATACCTATATATTTTAAATATATTTTTTAAGTGCAATTTACTGCAATATAACTACCAGTAAAAAACACAAAAAAACACAAAATTCAACGTCAAAACATCAAATGTCAATATATCAGGTGACACAAATTACTAATTTATAATGGTGGAATTGGAGATTGTATACTTTGCTGCAAATCTATTAGTGGAGATTGTCGACTTTGCACTAAATGTCATTTTTAATTAGTTGAAGTACAGTCTCCGCCAAAAATCTAATTTTTGGCCAAAAGTGGAGATTGTCGGTTTTGCTATGACAGGCCTCAGTTTTCCTTTTTTAAATCAAACAAGCAGATAATTAGTAGCCTAATTTTTTTATTTTAAATAAACTACTAAGAAGTACTGATTGTTTTTGGAGTTTTTGGAGAAAAGTAGATTTTTGTTTCAAAAATTTATTTAAATAAGTTACGCTTGTTAATATAAAATTTAGGTTAAATAAACTCTTGATTCCTGTAACTTTAAATTATTAAAGTCCTTTTATATAATAGGCAAACAACGCAATACATCTGCTATAATTATATAAATAAATGATGATTTGTAATTTTTGTTGTCTATTCTAAAAAATATTTCCGAGGAACTAAAATACCAAAGGAATAATTGAAAATTAATTACTAAAATATAAAATCCATATTTGACATGATGACCGGAATAATCAAGAGGCATACTTACAAACGCAACATGTCCCATAGCCATTAGCACAAGGGCCGTTCGCGGTGCCTCCCTTTTGGCTACACTCGGCCGCCGTGACGCAAGTGCCATTGTCCCCCGTTGCTCCCAAACACTCTTTGTTATCGAATTGGACGTACGTAAACAGGGACAGAACTAAAAAATTAATTAAAAACAATCAATAATTTAAATGTACACAACAGTTCGGTAATTAAATTTAAATTATTAATTTATGCAAATTGGTTTTCAATTGTTACGTTAAATTAATTTATTATATAAATTATTAAACGTTTGAAAATGAAAACCCTTTTAAACACAAACAATGACAGTTACAAAATAGCTTACATAACAATTTAAATAATTTTAGGCTTAGCATAATATATTATATTTTCCAAATACTGTTTGTTTTACAAACAAAAACTGGATAACAATTAAAAGAAGAATATTTTATACGAACATTTTTCATCAAAACGCACATTAAAAAATGTTAAATTTATTCCAGTGTAAAGTTTGACAAACTAATTTATTGTTATCGTCGCTGAGAGGTCGTGGGTTTGAATCCCACATTGGTATGGTTATTTATTTGAGTTTGTCCCATTGTAAATTTAAGTCCTAAAATCAAAAGAGCACTTTTATATAACTTTTTATATTTCACCAAAGAAAAAACATTTGTCAGCCAAACAATAAATAATAATCTTACATACATATAAGACTGTAAATGTTGATTTTAATTTTTTAAATATAAGTGTTAATAATGTCAAATTAGAATGTGTAAAAGAAATTAAATATCTCGGAGTGATCCTTGATGAACAATTAAATTTTCACAAACATGCAAGCTATGTAATGAACAAGTTAAGCAAAAAAGTATTTTTTATAACTAGAATAGGTAAAAATCTGTCCTTATACATAAAACTACTACTTTATAAAAGTATATCACTACCACATATTTCATTTTGTTCAACCCTTTTATATAATTTACCCAGGTATATAGTTAATGAAATACAAATTATACAGAATAGAGCTATGAGAGTAATTTTAAATGTGAATCGTTATACGCCTATACAAACCATGATAAATGTCTTGAATATTTTGTCTGTGAAACAAAAAATATATGTTGATGTTATGTTATTTATTTTTAAGGTTAAAAACAATTTAGTACCTGATTACTTGTCCGATAATATTAAATATGTGCGTAATGTCCACAATTATAATACTCGTAATATAAACCATTTCCAACTTGATAGATGTAAAACAGTACAAATGTCAAACTTTACTATGTACAAGGGTATGCTTGAATTTAATAAGCTACCCCCGGATATACAACAATGTAGTGATATCACAACTTTTAAAAATTGTATTAGATCTCATATATTATCACTATAGTGATAATATATTTTAAATTGTCATAATGTATACGTATTGTCTTAAGTTTATATGATTTTATTTATTTTCTGTGTTATTTTATGTTTTTTATATATTTATACTATTATATGTTTTCTGTATAGCATTCTGGCTAATAAAGATATTATTATTATTATATAGGATAATACAGTGTGGCATCCCATTAGTGCACCATTGTCGGGACACGCTCTATAAGTAAGTTTATCAAAAAAACTGAAAATTAATTAATATTATAGACATTTGCCATTCGGATATTTAACGATCTATAACTATAAGAAAATTTAGAAAATGTACGTTTAATAAATCCGCTAATACAGGGTGTCACCTAATAAATTATCATACTTTGGGGGGATGTACACGCTAAAACAAAAAATTTTTTCCTCTATCATTTTTGCATTAGAGCTTCTGTTTTGTAATAAAAAAATTATGAATTTTTTTTTACAAAACCAGGGAGCCACTGGATGTCACTGATATTATTTATCCATGCAAAAAATAAACAGGTATGCGCACAGTGTATTATGTAATAATATTTAGAGATGGGAAAATTCCCATTTGACGAAAATTCCCGGAAACTTTCCATCGAAAATTCCCGAAAGTTTAAAAAAAAAAAATTATTGCGAAAATATTTTTTTTTATGCCAGGGATTTGCAAAAATATATAACACATTAACTTATTGTCAAATTTTATTAAGAAAAAAAAATAAAAAAATGTTTATAAGAATGTAACTGCAATACTATTTTTAGTATCTTTTACTTTGGAATATTCCTATTGTATACTGTAACCTACAAAATAAAAATAAAATGTTTACTATTAGAAATTCACTGCTAGATATTACGTAAAAAAAATTAAAAGAGACAAAGTAACTAATATATAGGAATATTGAAAAGTAAAAGATACTAAAAATAGTATTGCAGTTCTGATATGAAAGAAAAAACTACAGGCAAAATAAAATTAACATTTCTGACTAGTAGTGACTACCATTGCACATAAAAAAATAGCAAAAGTAAAAAACACAAAATAGGATTTTTTTAAAACCAAACAGGTAAATAAAAGTGTTATTGCTGTATTTTAAATTTATCTAAGATTAATATCTTTAACGTAACGGGTGACGTGAAAAAGTTTTACACTAACGGTGACGTGGAGTCTGTGAGACTTTCTTAATTATTATTATTATAATTAATGCATTAAATAAATTTATACAAGTTTGTTATATTTAGTGATTAATTATTATGTTTTAAACACAGAAACATAAAAACATTGACAAAAAATTAAGCAATAGTAAAGTAATTGCACATTTTAGAATTATCGGTAAATTTTACTCAAAGAAAAACACTTTATAATTAAAAAGTTACTACCATCGTTCCAGCAGCCCCAGATATAAAAAAACATAAATTTTCTTAATAAATTTAATTAAAAGAAATAAAAAAACTAAACATAATAAAAATATTCCGACGGAGAAAAAAACTGTCAAGGGTCCAAATCAGTCATTTATATCGTCTCTCGCGCAACATTCGATACACACTTTCCTCGCACATTGCAGGCAAACAGGCCGGTGGCACGTCCTGCAAGTGTATTGTGTCTTCCTCTTTAGTTTAGGATTACATATGTAACAGTACTTCCTGCTCTCGAGGACTTCTTCACGTTCTGGCTCTGGGTCAATATTCAAAATCTTCCGGATACCATTTCGAATCTCCAGTGGAAGTCTCCTATTGCCAACTCTCCTGTGCATGTGAGGCTTTACTAGGTTACTTGCCAAATCTTTCATGAACGCAAAGCGTTGTAAATTTTGATTATCCCTGTAGCTGTTGTACATAATGAAAGCGTTAACAGCACTCATGTCCAGTATTTGGAAAAAAATTGCCATGGTCCAACGTTGAGTTCTTCTGCTTGAACTAAAAACAGCACATTTTTCATCGGTTGAGTCAACTCCACCTTTTGTTGCATTATAATGAAGTATTATTTCAGGTTTAGTATCAACGGCGTCAGTTGACGTGCAATGATGCATCGATGAAATCACCAGTACTGCTTTGCGTTTTTTTGGCACGTATGATAGGAGCGTCATATCTCTTGTAAATCCGTACAAAGAGGAATTTACTTCTCTGGTGTTGTTTGGTAGAAAGTTCGGTGGAATTTCTCTTTTATTCTTTCGCAATGTGCCTACATATGTTAAGCCCCTTTTCTTTAACTCCTGTACCAATTCTATGGAACTAAACCAATTGTCGGCTGTTATATTTCGGTTGGTACCATTCAAAGGCTGAGCTAACCTTATCACGCTTTGTGTGGGCTTACTAAATTTCTTCTCGTCCTGAGATAAAGTTTGACCATCGGAATCCTTACCACAATATAAATATCCATTACATGCATAGCCGCTACGAGCATCTGTAAGCATCATTACTTTTAAGCCGTACTTGTTTGGTTTTGCAGGCATATACATCTTAAAGCGACATCTTCCTCGGAAACCCACCAACATCTCATCAACACACGCATATTCTCCAATTGTAAATACTCTCTGAGAGTTTTTAAAAAATCTGTTAACCAGCTCGCTAGTTGCAGCAGCAGGATCACTTATTCTGCGCAAAATTCTGTCAACGGGATTGTCGAATCGGAGAGAAGATAAAAGGACAACAAATCTTTTCTGGCTCATGACTAATCTAAAAATATTCCTTCCTGTCCCATCGGTGGCAAATATCGAAGCGATATCTTCATTATTAGATTTAAAAATTGCTGTATAAAAAAGAAGTCCCACGAATGCCTTTATTTCGATATCATCCAGTGGCTTGAGCTCTGGTTTATCAATCCTTTTATACGTTTGAGCCATTTTCGCTAATTTTACATTTGTCCATCGTACCACATTTCCTATTATTTCATCATCAAACAGAAGATTCCAGACTTTTTCTGTTTGATTATGATCTGCTATTCTTCGTCACGATGTTGTGAAGTTGCGTACGTGTGTTTTTCTTTGGCTCCAAGCTTGACCATTTGAATTTGTTTTTGCCGTAGTAGTAACGGTCTTTTGGAACGTTTTCTCTACTGTCTAAAAGTGTTTCATCATCAGAACCTGATACCGACTCAACGTTGGCTGCCAAATCATGCTCGATAAGGGCTTCCGGAACATCTTCCAAATCGGAGACTGACTGCACAGACCCGGAATCGTGATCAGATAACTGAAAATCATCATTTTGATTATCTTGATCCTCTTTTGTATCGCTGTCAATTTTATCAAACCACTTTAGCAGTGAAGCTTCATAATCCTCATCGCCAAACTTACCTGCCTTTGAAGTTGAAGGCTCAGAATCCATACTGAAAAGCCTAAGAATCCAAAAATAAATATTTATTTCAAGCCCCAAAAAAGTTACACTTACGGTGACGTGGAGTCTGAAAGACTCCGCTTGAACTTTGCACACACTTGTCTTTACATACACAACTCGGAAACGACTGATATTGATAGAGGGGGTTAATAACATCGAGGATTGAAGGTACCTAGAGGGGGGTACAGATTTAGCGCGAACTTTAAAAAATACACTGATTTTAAAACGCTGAGAAGTCTGGAAGACTCCACGTCGCCAGTTACGGGATATATAGGAATATTGAAAAGTAAAAGATACTAAAAATAGTATTGCAGTTCTGATATGAAAGAAAAAACTACAGGCAAAATAAAATTAACATTTCTGACTAGTAGTGACTACCATTGCACATAAAAAAATAGCAAAAGTAAAAAACACAAAATAGGATTTTTTTAAAACCAAACAGGTAAATAAAAGTGTTATTGCTGTATTTTAAATTTATCTAAGATTAATATCTTTCCTCCATCTTTTAATATAAATTGCAACTTAGGAACTGAATCCAATACGATATTTGATGTACTTGGTTTAGGATATGTATTTTCTGGGTTTTCATTAATCATTTCTTGTTCTGATTCCTTCTGGTACTCGTAATTTTCATATTCATTAGTTTTTTGGTTAAACACATCTATTTCATCTTCATGTTTTTCATCTGTTATGTACTTGTACGTTGTACTTAATTTCTTTCTTCCAGGTAGCCTGAAACTTGGACGTAGTTGCTTAAAAAATATTTCAACATCAGGGTTTTCGACTAAACTAAAGTGGCAAGAACTAGAGTAAATTGCTCGAGCAAATAGTTCTTCCAATTTTTCCTGTTCATTAGAAGACATATTATCAACAAATCCTTTTATGTTTCCAGTACTGGCATTGCTACTTTGTGGTCTCTCTTCTTGACTCTCAGTAGAATTAAAATTTTGTATGGATAATCTTACTTCTTGTGAGGCACAAAAACACTTTTTTATGTGTTGGACCACTTTTGTTGCATTAACGACATAGATTTTCTTACAGAACTTGCATTGAGCATGGTTTTTTTATTTTTTTGCACTATTTTGTAATAATTCCAAACACTAGATTTTTCTCTTGGCATTGTGCTATGCCTATAAATAAACAACAAAAATGTAAGAATGATTTTAACTTTTTTTTTATTTTGTTTACCTTTTTTAAAAAAGTTTTTGTGATGATGCTGAATAATCCGGCTTCATTGAGGTTATGTAACATAACTTACATTATTTATACTTTTTCTGCTTTAAATTAACACACATTAAATTTATATTCAAAGTTTCTTGGCCTTGTATCATGGCCTTAACGAAAATCAACGGTTAAACAATTGACATTTCAATGAAAAAAACAAGGAAAGTTTCCAATTGGGAATTTATTATGAAAATAAATTCCCAATTGGAAACTTTCCAAAACGGAAAGTTTCCTTAAAATGGAAACTTTCCGATTCCCATCTCTAATAATATTATCAAGCAAACTCTTAAACTTATTTAGTACTTTGTTATCATTGATTACTGATAGTTCGGTTGTTATTATTTTTGATACTCGTACGTCTGCATTACCTATTTAACGCATATTCAATGCGATTTACCAACGCCGAGAATAAGGACATGGTCATATTTTATGGCAAATGCCATGAAAACGCGAACCGTGCCGCTCAACTGTATGCAGAGACGTTTCCCCATAAGGATCATCCTGATTGTCGCACAATCGTTCAGGCTGTCCAAAGATTCACGTAGGTGATCGGGGACGTCTGCGAGGCGTTGTAGCCATCAACGCTAAACAGCAAGTTATTGACATGTTAGAGGACGATCCAACATTGAGTGTTCGAAGAATTGCTGCTCAAATTCCCTGTATTTCACGCGGGGTGGTTTGGCGAATCATTAGGGAGAACTTGTATCCCCCTTACCATTTTCAAAGAGTGCAGGCCGGGGCTAATTCGCGCAATTTAGACTTTGTGTTATGGACTGATGAGTCAAGGTTTGGGCGAACAGGGCCTTTAAATTTTCATAACATGCACATTAGGGTGTCCCTTAAATTTTATTTTTTTTACGCATACACTGTTTAAAATATCTGTGGTGTAAAAAGTAATCTTAAAATGGTGTCAAAATCCAACACCAAGTGGTGTTAATATAACACCATAAATTGTGGTTGAAAATGTGTACCGATCGCGGCAAAGGCGGTGTGGATCACGTGATGTTCTTAAATCTCGCGTCTGTTGACTTACATGAAGAATATATAAACTGAGGTAATCCTTTGCTTTGGTGTGACACTACAAGTAGTTCGATACTAAAGATACCTTAAATAGGTGGAAACAGCTGTCAATACTTAAAGTATTTTAAGTTAGTGCAACACACTAAAAACATTATCTCTAGCGAGTTAAAGGTTCCATTTTCTGGAATAATACCACTGGTAATATACTAGTAATGCGTCGAGGAACTTCCTGTTTCCTTTTTTTTTCCTTTTTTCTGTGTAGTATGATTTAATTTGTCCACAAACACATAATATTTAACACTGAAAAGGAGTTCAATTTACACCAAGTTAAATTTATTTTAATACTGTGTGAAAGTTAAATTAACACCATTTTAGTATTTGAATGTACACCGGCCAACGGACCTTATTTAACACCATTTTGGTTTGTATCGATATAGACCATGTTTGGTGTTAATTTGGTGTTAAAATGGTCATGAAATTTTGAACAGTGTACCCTCTAATTATATTTATTACGTGTTTATATACTCCCAGTTAAAATTTCAGCTCATTTTATAAACGGGAACCCGTGCCGACTTGCATCTGAACCCTCCGTTAGCCAACGTTAGGCGCGCGGTATTTTGTAACACGGTTGGTCGCGAGGTCTTCGATCGTAAGTCATTTTGTGTTTGTTATTATGTGACCCTTATATTATAAATTATTGACAAATGTTAAAATATAGTTTTATTTATGTGTATACTTTGATAAAAATGTATATTTTCACAGGGAGTGGCTAGTTACCCGGAAGGGTCTGGTGAATAGGCCGTAAACTCTGAAATTGATAAACTTAATGGGTTTTACTCTAAATAACTAAAAGAGTCTATTGTGAGAGATGACTACCGAAAACTTATTAAACTGTCTGAAATATTTTTGGGAGGACATCAAGAAAAGAAATGCTTATAAAAAGCTGAAATTTCATATAACAGTATATTTTAGCAATACTAATTAGTATATTAATATATTTAAGGGATACAATCAACTAAATTAGTGAAACAAATGATAGAAACAAAAGCAATAATATTAATTATTAATCATATTTAATAAAATCATTAGAAAAATACAGTCATGAAGTATATCTTCTTTTTAAAGTGTTTCGTGTTACAAAATACCGCGCGCGCCTAACGTTGGCTAACGGAGAATTTAGATGCAAGTCGGCACGGGTTCCCGTTTATAGAATGAGCTGAAATTTTTACTGGGAGTATATAAACAGGTAATACATATAATTAGAAGGTATGCGTAAAAAAAATAAAAATAAGGGACACCCTAATGCACATTTATGCTCATGAAAATGCGCATGCCATAAGAAGGGCGAACTTTCAGAGGCGGTTTTCAATTAATGTTTGGGCGGGCATGTTAAACAACCAACTAGGAGGGCCTTTTGTACTTCCGGCACGTTTAAAGGATGATACTTATTTAGATTTTTTACAAAATGCTCTTCCTAATTTAATCGAAGACGTACCGTTAGATATTTTTCGCCGCATACGTTTTATGAACGATGGAGCTCCGCCACATTTTTCAGCTAACGTACAAGCGTATTTAGATACTGAATTTCCCAATAACTGGATTGGTCATGGCAGTCAATCCTTGGCCACCTAGATCACCGGATTTAAATCCGTTGGATTATTTTCTTTGGGGCTCCATGATCAGTTTAGTGTACCAGATAGCAAGAGCGACATATCATAATTTTCTACGCCGCTGTCAACTTTGTGTGGATTATATCGGCGGAATAGTTGAACATTTATTATAATTTTGTGGAACACTTGAAAACCACGGAAACTTCGAGATACCTTACAATAAAAAGTAATTATCAACAAGTAATGAATGATAACACAAATGTAAATTTTTAATAAATGTAGAGCATTGCCCACTGTGCGAGCATGTTTTAGTAATTTGTCGTAGGTCAGGAACAACCAGTGGCGGCTCAAAATTTCTACTTTACTTATAAAAATTAATGATTTTTTTATTTAAAAAAATGGCAATAATGCAAAAATGATAGAAGAAAAACTTTCTAATTTTGGCGTGTTCTATCATCCCCTTGAAGGATGACAACTTATTTGGTGACACCCTGTATACCTACATTATTAAGTTTCTGCATCTTACTGCTCCAGTGATAATATTACAATGAAAGTTTATAAAAATAACTTATAATACTAAAACTATACAAATATTAATAAAATAGTGACAAAATTGGATAAAGTGGTACCAAGTTTGATAATGAATTAAACATTATTATGCTGTAGAACGAAATGTATGAATGCACAAATTTACTAATATGATCAGGAAACGATATTAATAATTATTATAATCAGTAGAATTTCTTATAAAGTTAAGATAAACAAGAATTTAGCAACAAGTTAAGGTATGTTTAAAAGAGGTAACATTAATGCAAATAAAAATAGGTTATAATTATTTTAAAAATTATACGAAATCGATACTATTATGAGAAATGCAGGATTCACCGTTTTGAGGCTTCCTCCATATCACCCAGATTTAAATAGTATCGAGTTAGTCTGGGCAGCCTTAAAAAAATATGTTGCTGAGAGAAATGTAAACTTTAACTTTACACAAGTACCTACATAAATTGTGTGAGGATTTTGTTTCCAAATTTTTCCAGGAAGAATGGCGGAAGCGATGTCAGCACGCTATAAAGTTTGAGAATTATTTTATGGAGAAAGAACCGGCTTTGGATTTAGTCGTGGATAATTTAATTATTAATTTTTAAGGGGACAGTGACAGCGAGGTAACCAGGGAAGACAACAGTTCGGGCGAATTTGATCCGTAGTATATAAAAAAAATTATTTAAAAAATAACAGGATAATATTAATACATTTTTTAAACTTGATTTACTTTCATTTTAATCCACTGTGCTAAGCGTTCTTTATCCTAAGGCAAACTCAATGCAAATGACGATTTTAAGAGCTTCGTACGTCTCTAGCTAGATTTGCCAAGCTGTAAAACCCTTTTCTTGGAACCGCAAACAAAAGTCACTTGCCCCAAGATTACTTTTTTTTCAAACGTTTGCAGTGAGCATGAAATATTAAAAACGGCTCAACCGAATTTTACACTGTTTAAAATATCTGTGGTGTAAAAAGTAATCTTAAAATGGTGTCTAAATCCAACACCAAGTGGTGTTAAATTAACACCACTTGGTGTTAATTAACACTTTTAATATAAACACCATGAATTATGGTTAAAAATGTTATACCGCAAACACCAAAACGGTGTTTATCTAAAAATATTTGAGAAGTGCACCTACACAGCAAAAAGGCATAGTTAATTTAACTAATTAGTTGACCCATAAGTATTTATTTAAATCAACTGTGGGAAGGTTAATATAAACAAAGATAAGTTTGACGGTACTAAACCAGATAATTATTTTTTTTTTTTTTTAATTAAATTAACCCAGAAAACTTTAGTGAAACCAACCCGCTGTATGGTTCAGTTTACTAAATATGTTGTTTGTAAAATAAGAGTTATTTCAAACTAAAGCACTCTGTTAAAACGTAAAACAATTTGTCGTGCATTCCTGGTTGCATAGTATGTATAGATCGCGGCAAAGGCGGTGTGGATCACGTGATGTTCTTGCCTCTGTTGAGTTACATGAAGAGTATACGAGCCCTAACCACATAATGTTCGGACACTTCATAATTTATACAGAAATTTTTTTCGTGAATACTATCTCAAAATTATTAGAAGTTATGAAAAATTCAGCTTATTTTGGCATATACCCCTCGAAGCGATTTTTATTTTTAAAAAGTTTACCTTTTATTTTTAGCTTTTAAAAAAAGGCTAACTTTTTAACTTTTTTTTGCATGAGTAAAAAAAGTTATAAATGGGCCCATTAAAAAGAACATAAAATATTATACAAACCCTGAAAATTTGGTAAAAATTGTATAAATAATAAGAAAGTTATAGCGATATATATATCTGCAAAATCTCCCGTTTCCTAAGAAAATTGCAAAAACTCTTTAAAAATAGCATTTTTAAATTACTTATACTTTTTTATAACTTATTTATTTTTTACCAAATTTTCAGGGTTTGTATAATATTTTATGCTCTTTTTAATGGGTCCATTTATAACTTTTTTTACTCATACAAAAAAAAGTTAAAAAGTTAGCCTTTTTTTAAAAGCTAAAAATAAAAGGTAAACTTTTTAAAAATAAAAATCGCTTCGAGGGGTATATGCCAAAATAAGCTGAATTTTTCATAACTTCTAATAATTTTGAGATAGTATTCACGAAAAAAATTTCTGTATAAATTATGAAGTGTCCGAACATTATGTGGTTAGGGCTCGTATAAGCTCAGGTAGTCCTTTGCTTTGGTGTGACACTACAAGTTGTTCGATACTAAATGGACCTTATTAAATATGTGGAAACAGCTGTCAATACTTGGAGTATTTTAAGTTGGTGGAACGAACTAAAAACATTATCTCTATCGAGTTGAAGGTTTAATTTTCTGGAATAATACCAATGGTTATATACTAGTAATGCGTCAAGGAACTTCCTGTTTCCTTTTTTTCCTTTTTTTCTGTGTAGTATGATTTAATTTGAACAAAAACACATAATATTTAATACTGTAAAGGAGTTCAATTTACACGAGGTAAAATTTATTTTAATACTGTGTGAAAGTTAAATTTACACTATTTTAGTATTTGAATTTATACTGGACCAACGAACCATATTTAAAACCATTTTGGTTTGTATCGATATAGACCATACATGGTGTTAATTTGGTGTTAAAATGGTCATGAAATTTTGAACAGTGGATGAAAAATATTACCATATTAGTATAGTATAGTATTGCCCCCTTTGTGAACGAAGGAATTTTTATTGGCAAGAAATATTTTATTTTTTTCGACCGAAAAACCCAATTTACCCAATTAACCCAATACTATATACTAATAAGATACTTTTTTCGTAAAATTTGGTTGAGTAATTTTTCATAGTCACGCATACTGCAAAACGTTTAAAAAAAAGGCGTCTGGGGGCAAGGGCAGTATTTTCCACAATTTTACAAATTTTGGCATGACATTTTTTTTGAAAACACCGAAACATATACTATTTAATACTTTGTATTTCATTTCAAAAAAAGTATTATTACTAACCTCAAAAAAACAATAAAAACTACTAATTTTTCAGAAAACAAACGTATATTACCCCTTAAGACAACGCGGGCCACCGCTACTACTTAATACTTTCTTTTAATCGTATTTATTCATAGATTATTAACTATATGTATAATTTTATGTTTTAAAAAGTTTTTATATAAATTTTCTTGCTATAAATACTTGTTTAATGCTATTATCAGTGAAGTTTAAAGTTATCTTATGAACTTGTTGGGTATTGAGTTTTATCATATTAAATCTGCATTTAAATTCGAATTGGATTAAAAGTTAATATGTAACTTTATCATATTTTAAGCATATTTATCTTTTAAACAATGTTTGCTTTTAACTAAATTAAAATCATATTCATGAAAATGGCGCATAAACGCTATGTATGAAAATAATTATAATTATAATTAATAATAATTTTTTAAATTAGTTTTTGAGTAATAATAGTTTAAAAATTTAGTTTTATTTTTGTTTTTTTAATGTTTTCAGACTTTTTATTTATATAAAAAATAATTTTTTTAAAAACGTTAAAAAAATTACTAAATTTATTAATATCTTCCCCTACAGCGATATATACGCTAATGCGAAATTTTGGGAACAGTTTTTATACCAGATATTGCAACGAATAAATATTACTAATACAATGGATCAAAATTCCAATATTCTTATTCATTTTCTAGAAAATTTTCTTTTGAGCTGTCTAAAGTTCAAACGTAATTTTCTTTCTTATTTTGATTTCTTAAAACACAATGTGTCAATCAGATAAAAATTTTCAATCCAAACAAATGCTGTTATGGAGCATTTAGGTACAAATTTAAAATATTCAGTAACAAAAAATGTATTTCTATAAAAAATAAAACAGTGTTTCAGGGATGTTGCATTTGAATGAATGTATATGTAAGTACCCTTTCTATTCCGGTTTATCTTTTTATATATGCAGCCTGTATAATACGAAAATAAAAGTTATAAAAAGGTATTAAACTTACATCTTCCCATTCTCTCGGACATCCTTGATCCTCTTGCTGGCTCAAACGGAAGATTTCGTTTTCGACCGGCATTGCCTCTTCGAGATAGATCCAGTATTTCACAATTAATGGCGGCTGCCATAAGCAGTACAGCAAGCAGTCGATCGCAATACATTTTTTCGAAATACTTTTGTAAAATTGGAATTTATTTCAACGACAGACAATAAAGCCGGATTACTTGAGAGATACACGAGAAGTTGCCACGTTATGGGACGACAGAATAAGCTGCGAAGATATTTTATAATCTACCACTGTTCTTTTCTTCCGGACCTAAAAGCCGGAACAATAATAGTAAATTACTATTATGTTGAACATTATATAACGAGAAAGTGTAAATAGATTTAGTTTTGACTGTTTTAATGACCGACATATTTTTGGGAGTTCAACTGTAAAACGATTAATTTAGAACCTTATTATATTGTTCCATATTTTTTAAATTGTTACAATGTTCGTCAAAGCATAATTTAATATAAATTTTTAATAAATAATAAATATATAATGTAAATAAAAAATTAAACAATTTTCATTAATAATGTCCAAAAATAATTTATATGATCTTAATTATTTATTATGTATATTAATATTTTTTTATTATATATGATATTATATATGATATTATATATGATTTTAAATATTTCACAACAGTATGCAAAATAATTAATGCGTGATATTGTGATATTTGTAGGGCAATAATGGATTTTAAGTAAAACAACAGGTAAAAGAGTTTCTCTACGACTACTTATTACTTATTATAGTAACATTCTAGTGTAATTTTTAATCATAAAAAGGATGTTTTTCTGCAATACTGTGCGAGAATATTCCTACTCTTGTTTAAGAATGGTCAAAAGTAACGACATCTCCTGGCTGTTTACTAAACGTAAAAAATTTAAAAATATTTAGATATTACTGTATTATTTATTAATTAAAAAATAATAGCAGTTGTATAATTAAGGTTTGGGCACAAAAAATTAGTTATATTTATTGTTTTTCAAATATACAAATCAAAATTATAATAAATTTGATATTAAAATGATAAACCAGTTACCTACTATACCGGCTTTGAAGTTTTGACAGATTCAAAAAGTTTAAAAAAAGACCTTTAAAATGTAGAAAAAGAATAGATTACTTGTAAAATTAGTTTTGTATTTGTTACAATGTTATTTGTTTTATTAATTAGTGTAAATAACTATTTTTAATTATAATAAAGATTTAGGCATACCATTTGTTTAAATTTATTATAATTTACATTATAAAATTGTGACGGCACAAAATGGTTTGACAATACAAAAAACTTAAATGTCAAAAACTGCTTGGTTTCTTTTCTCTGTTTAAAATTATATAAGCGTTACTATTCTTACGTAGTCGTAGAGAAAATAATGTCTGAAACACGTTTGGAATAGCATATTCCACTCTCGTGAAACCGTCACACTCGCCTTCGGCTCGTGTGTCAAATTTTTCCTCGAGCGGAATATGCTGTATTCCAAACTTGTTACAGAATGTACTATTCCAAATTGACAGTGGAAAATGACAAGCGCAAAACCAATAAAAGTGTAGAAAATTTATAATTACTACCTACCTTCGCTGTGTATCAAACCGAAAAAAGATTGATTTTGTAACTTGTGGCTTTTGTGGCTTTAGCCTCTTCATTGTTTGTTAGTCAAATTTTAGTTGAAAACAACAAAATAATATTGCCCGATGATCCATATTTGCCAGATATAGGATGATTTTTTCTCAAAAATAAAGAGCCCTCGTTTAACAAGCATTAAGCACTAGAAGAACAGGTATAGTATAACACTCCAGACAATGCGAATTATTAACTAGAATAATTTACTTCTCTCGCCTTGCGGGTCGAGACTTTATTATACGAGAGATAATGCTCTATTATTGAGTAAAAGCAAAATTCCATAGACCGAAAACTTACTGCCTATTGAAGTATTTATAAATTATAAATTTTAATGATTAAGGTTTTTTTTAATAATTACCTACGCACGTACGCAAAAGATATAATATCGAACTCTATAAAGCTCCAGAATTCCCTTTCTAAATATTAAGTATAAAAACCCACACATTTTACAGACATCTAATATAAAGGTATTTAAAATTGTAATTTGTAATGGTTTAGTACTTTAATACGCATTACAAATTTATTTTAAAGTACAATTTTGTATGTTTTAAAAATAGTGGTAAAAGAGACGTTTAGGTAAAGAATTTAACTTTTCAAACTTTGCCTAAAAATATGGGGCAGATGAGGCGAGAAACGACGGTCAAGGTAAACAAAGCGGAAAAGTAAAGAAAAAAGATCGGAAGAGAGTTTTTAAAAGTGGTAGCGAACGCATCGATTCCAGTAAAACTTGCTAAAATAAAATTTAGTTTTGTTTAAATTGTTACTATTGTAACACTTAAGTGTTATTGGTGTATTCTTAAAGGTTAGTTCTTAATTTTAATTGCCCTAAATATATAGTAAAGTCCACTAAACGTAGAACGATTCAGCTCAAAGTTAAATAATCATTAGTTATTTTGAACTACTACGTTTGACGAATTTTACTTAAAATTTTTAAACCCTTTTCTTTTAGCATTTTTTTTAATAATGGTTTTTTTTACCAAGGCGGCGCCGCAACCCTTATCCCGCCCTCTCAACTCTAGACGTATAGCCTCCGAACGGGGCGCGTTACCCACTGGGCCCCCAAGTTAAGTCCGTTTAGTTGCCATGTTAACTTAAACCATTATTCTCCTGTTTTTTAACCTTTTTGATTAGATAAAGAACGAGGCGTCACGTCATCACATTAATTTGACTAAACTTTTAAAGAAACAATGCCTAATCGTGTATTTCTTTGCAACTTCATAGCCGAACATGTTTTATCTCAATATCTTTTTTCCTGGTCATATCTTCCTAAGAGCCACCCCTTGCTTGTTATAAAACGTTTGTAAATGAAATTGGGGTAAACTTAACACTGCATTTTATTTTTTGTATACCTTATTCTCCTAACTATGATTCGTAAAGCAATGTATTTAATAAAACAAGTAAGTAAGTGAGCCAAAATCACAAAATAGTTCATTTATGAATTTTTTATAAAACTTGTATCAAACAAACATGCAGGTGTAAGGAGAAATTTTCTTTATTCTTTTTGTTACCTACGCACGTACGAAAAAGATCTAATCACGAACTCAATAAAGCTCCAGAATTGCCATTTTTAAATATTAAGTATAAAATAATACCCAAAACCCACACATTTTAAAGGCAAAATTTCAAATGTATAATTTTATTTATTTATTTTAAAAGTTCTTATATTTATCTTTTAAATTATACAATTTACGTATAAAAAAAACATTGTTTAAATTTTATATTAAAAAAAATACTAAAAGCCATTTAAGACCTAAAATTCATAAGTACATGTTGTTTCGTAATTGCGTCATAAAACTTTAAAGCAGTAAATTTGGTTGTTAAAGGAATGGGTTCTCATAAAGATAACTGAATCGACGGATATATATCCCAAATGTATTATAACGCAAATTTACCCGACATTATTATGAGAAAATCTAAATGGACAGGACAGATGAATACAAATGCAACATTTGAGTGGTTTAAGCCAAAACACAAATTGGATTTGGTTTTAATGAACATCATTCCACACGCAAGCAATTAAGCAACAATTTTAGATAGACAGATCCCAATATATATAATATATTGTTGATTTGCAATATCGAGAAAACAATTCAAACTTTTTACTTCAAAGGAGATTTCATGAAAAACATAAAAAGAAAACACCAAGTCTTGTCGAAAAGCACAGTTTTAAGAAAATAATTCATTATCTTCTTTCTTACTGTGTTTAGTAAAACTTAGTATGTATTATTAAGTATATTTTAATAAAAAAAATACAGGTTTTTATTTTATGTGTTTTTAGATGAAAAAAGCACCGTTTTATTTGAGTATTACTACTCTAATGTAAAAAATCAATATTTAACAAAAATGCTATGACAGAATCTAATAATTATTATAATCAATTTTAACTGTCAATCATTGTCTCCTTGGTGTAATGTTAACAGACAACAATCAATTAACGAAGTAATTGTTGTGGTAATCAATTGTTGCACATTGTTGCCAAACGCATGCATACTGTTAGAGTAAATATCCTAAATGCGGTTTTTATAAGATAAAACATATTTTTGACCATATGTTTGACCATTCTGTACATTAGACATAATCTATTTAATACGACCTAAAAGAATATAATTAAGATAAACCTATTATTTTCTAAAAACTCAATCTTTTTAAACAATAAAGGTAGAATTAAAAAAAAGTCATTGTGATTGTTGAATAAATTATTGTGTGCGACTATTGGTCAAAAGTGGAGATTCATTTCCACGCTCGAGGAATCTTCTCTTTCTCCCACTAGTCGCACAATATATACATATAATACAGCTGAGTAATGGATACGAAAACAGGAAACATACTCTCTTAAAATGAATTAGTCAAAAATAACTAATTATAAGTCATATTTGACTAATTGTCATAGCGAAAAAGCAGTCACTAATATTTGGTCAAATTCTACTGAATGAAATAGTCAAATTAGTAGATTTAAATTTAAAAAAAAGTTTTGACCCTGCCAGGTCTGTCACTTGTCAAGTTGTTGTCATAACCCATTTGGCTATCAGCCGCTCTTATAAAAATCAATTTTATTTGTCAATAAATATTGTTCATAATATTTTAAAGTTGAATATATTATTTGTGTTGCTGTTGAGCTAAACTTTTTGCATCTTTATTTGTTTTTATGGGTCATTTAACCTTGGAGCTTAGGTATATGCATTTAATTCAAATAATACTTTGTTGTTGGCCGCAAACGATTAAAGAAATTAAATACTTTTAACTTTTAGAAATAGTCAAAGATGGTGACTAATCTTAAAATAGTCAAACTTTAACTATCTACGTAGTAAAAAATAACTATTTAAAAGTGAAAACTACTATTTTATTAGTAAAAAATGCTGGTACTAATTCAAATAGTAGAATTTTGATTATTTCATTTTTAGAGAGTATGTGCTGCAAACGAAACAACAAGAAAAACTGGGGATGTTTAGGGACTTTAGGTTAAACTTTGTTATTGACAGTTAAATTATTAA